ATCCGTTTTTGATGGTCTCCGGGCCCAGGAAACTGCCCCTGGAGGCCGACAAAGGCCAAAACACCTCACCGAACCCAACACCTCGAACCTGACTCCCCCTTCCTGCTGGTTGGAACCAATGCTGGGCCACCTCAGACCCTCAGCTGGCTCCAAGTGCACCGTGCTTCACCCCCCTTCGGTGGCAACTCACGGGAGCCTCCCATACCATCTTGTTGGCTCTTGCGAATCGGCGCTAATCGGCGCTACTCGACGCTAAATCGACACTAAATTGACGCTAATCGGCGCTAGCCGACGCTAATCGACGCTAGTCGAGGCTAAATCAGCCCTACAGTCAGACTTCATTGGACAGGACACGCGAGAGGACACAAGACCCTTCCGAGGGTCACATTGCAATGGGAATGCAGGAAGCACGGGTCGCGAGACACAGAACAAAAAGGTACCCTCTGCTTTGGAGGGTCGACCTATTAATCCGGGACGACTGTACGTCATCGACTACAAGACGCCAGTCGACGCTAACGCACTCTAAAGGCCATGACGCAACGCCCGAGGATGATGCCGCCCATCGAGTTGCCTGAGCCGTTGATCGGCAAGGGTTGGGTTCGGATTCTGTTGCCGATGGCTCGTCGGCAAGTAGTACTGACACTCCGAGTCCTCCGTCCCAAGAGGACTCCCGAGCATCCCCGTTGACTTCATCCCTCTTCTGGGGGTCGGCGGAATTCGAGGGCGCGCAAACATGGACTAGCGATTCGCCCTCCCCCAAATGCGGCCCGTGCCGCACTTTTGGGAGGGCATCTCCCCCGCGATCCACGCCCCCCTGGATCCATGTCTGCGATCGCCTGACTCGGGGGGTCGGCGGAATGGCGCCAGCCTCTGTACTGAGACATGCCCGCCGCTCGTGCAGGCTGACGCTCCTCCTCCCTGCCGGGCCCTCTGGGCTCCTCGGCCGCCGGGCGCCGCGCGGGCCTCCCTCGGGCGGCCACGCGCCCGGCCGCGGGCGACAGGGCGGCGCCGCCGCGCATCCCCCCCCCCGCGGGGGGTGCCAGAGGTGCCCCCCGGCCCAGGGCGCGAGGCCCCATAGGACCGGGCCGACACGCTCGGGAACTTGTGCGTATGGCCCATCGCCCCGGCGGCCCCGGGTGACACGCTGTGCCCTGCAGCCGGCCAGCGTGCCGCGCCGCTCCGCGGGGCGGGGGGCTCGGACAGGCTCGGGACGTTGCAGCCTGTGGTCTGGGACGTGGATAGCGTTTCCCCCCCCCCCCCCGAGCAGTCCAACTGCCAAATGTTACTTAAGACCAGATTTTCTCAGCAAAGCAAGGCCCACTGAGTATTCAAATTTGAATACCCTGATCTGCTGTCTGTAGCGGAGGCTAAACTACAAATGATTCTAAGACTACACAAACGGAGCCAACATTCTGCCTGGGACGTGGATAGCGTACCGCGCCGAAGCGTGGTGGGCCAGAACCAGAAGAACGCCACGCTGTCCAGAAGTTCCCGACCGTGTAAATCGGATCGGCGATCGAAATGGATCGGAGTGGCGGAAACCGGCAGCCAGGTCGGGAGAGCCGAATCGGCCGGCAAAAATCGGAAGGCCAGGAAGGCCTCCACTGAGATACCGGAATCCAAATCGAAATCCGAAGTCGAATCGAATGAGTGACGGAGTCGATCGACATCGGACCGAATCGAGTCGGAGGAATCGACATGAGCGTTGCCCGAGATGCAGCCCAGGATTTCCGTGGAGGCCCCCACGGTCTCCAGAGCACCAAGTGGAGCGAAGAATGGTGCGAAAACCTGGGGGGGGCCATGGGCCAGGGCTGCAGGGGGCCCGAGGGGCTCCAAGGGCCAGCGCACCCAGGGGGTCCCAGGGGCTCCACAATGGAGCGGAAAGCTGGGGGCACCTTGGGCCAGGGGCACCTCTGCCAACCCCCGACCTCCTCGCTCAGGGCGCGCTTCCAGCCGCCCCCCCCCCGCCCCCCTTGAACCAAGGGTCGCAGTTCAAGCCGCGCTCGCGTCTTAGCACAGCAACCACGACTAGAAATTGTGTTGGCAGTGGAAGCTGGCCCCGGGGGAAGGGGGTCGGGGCTTCTGGGGGGCCACGTGTTAAAGCACCAAGACGTCGGTGTGCCTTAAGGAACGCCAAGTAAGGAACGAAGTGGCTTGTCTGGCCACGACAAGGCTCGCTCACTAGTAGTTCCCCCAACTCAACCCTAGGGAGGGGGCCGAAAAGCAGAGCCCATCCTGAGCCCAAAGTGGCTCTCATCTCAGTGTCTGGTCTGTACGTCGTCGTCTTCGTTGTCGTCGTCGTCGTCGTTGTCGTCGTCGTCATCGTCGCCGTCCCAGACCCAAAGTATCGTGATTTCTTCACAGCGTGGGCCGCCCCCGAAGTCGTCCATTCCCCGGGGCCGGCTTTTCATCCCGAGCCGTTATTTGATTGCCCCGGGGCCCAGCGAGGTCCCCAGGAGGCCGAGAATTGCCAATGAGTGTTACCACGACGCGGGGGGTACGGGTTCCCCTCCGTCCCTCGGCCTGCACATTCGGCAACTTCCGCGCGGAAAGTGCCGCCGCGATGCGGCCGCCGTGGCCGCCGCTGCGGCCTGTACGGTGGCCACCGCTGCGGCTGCCTCGGCGGCCGCGGCAGCGCGGCAGGCGCAGGTCGAGGGTCCTCCTTCATGATGCGAGTTGGCACGGTGAGGGCATTGGCTGAGGAACCAGTGGATAAGGGGTCCAGGGCCTGGCAGGCGGCGGAACCACCGCCGCCTCAGCGGATAAGGAGCCATCCGTATGGGGGTCCTGGGTCACCTTGTTTCGCGCATCGCGCCCCGCGCGGGTGTCCTCGCGCCCTCGCGCCGACGCCCTGGAGAAGGGCGCCTCTCCAACCCGAGCCGAGATGCCCGAAGCGCGCTCATCTTCGCGCCCCTGTGGGGGGCCTCGGCTGCCTGCCCCCCCCCCCCACTGGCCATCGCTCGAACGCTCATTCCCTGTGTTTTTCTCGGTTTCGTGCGTGGTTTTTGTCGCCCGATGATTCAGGATGCTCCTCGATGGTCCTCGCCGAAGGAAGAATGCACCCGTCCGAGCGATGCCAAGCCCACACCCCTTCCGGATGGGGCGGCCGGCACCCCGCGGAGGGCGCCTCCCGCAGCGGGTCCAGCGACTCCTGGAGCTGCCTGCAGGCCGCCTCCGCGTCCGCCAGGCGGGCGCGCGCCGCCTCGAGCGCCGCCTGTGTGCGGGCCCTCCTCGCGTACTGCTTCCCTCGGTCGCTCCTCGTGCTCCTCCTGCTCCTCGTCCTCCTCCTCCTCCTTCTCCTCCTCCTCCTCCTCTTTCTCTTCCTCCTCCTCCTCCTCCTCCTCCTCCTCCCTCCAGCCGTTTCCTGATGACTAACTCCTCCCCGTCGCACTCTGAGGCGTGTCGGTGGGGCGGGCCGGGCGTTTCGCCTGAGACTTCCTCACCACTTAGGACCCTGAAGCTTAGAGCTTGCACCAGGTCGGTCCACGCATGCAGGGCCGGCTGTTTTGCAGATGTGGCTATCGCCTCAGCGCCGCGCACATTCGCCTTTACAGTTTGCAAGCGTGTCGCGTGTGAGGGCTGGCCGTTTGCAAACTGCGGCTCGTGCCTTAGCTCTGCGCACATCCGTCTTAACGGTTTACCACGCTTTCAAATATTGATATGGTTGACGTCCCAGGAATGGTGTTCCTGCGCGGTTTAAGACTGTCATGGCAGAACAGTCACGCTGACCCGCTGTGCTAAAGTCCCCGGAATGGTGCTCTAGCGCGGTTCAGGGTCGTCAAGATGCAATAGGAAGAACTTTGATTCAGTCGCAGGACTGGTGTTGTGGCAACCGGTTGTCTTTCAACAGGGCACCTCCCACAATGAAACTCTATTCTTGTAGGGACCTATGAAGAGGGAACTTGGAGAGAGGGTGTATTGCAACACCGTTGAAGCGTGTGGGTTGCACTCTCGTCCTCCGCAATTACACAGTATGAATACTACTCTCCGCTCTCCTCCGAAGACGCCGGTGAAGTGTCCTGGCCTTATCCACGTATTGCTTCTTCTAACATGATGCCGGCGAAGTCAGAATTCAGACGTGTTTTTTCCAATCCGAACGTTTTCGATCCTTTCAGGATGGCGCTCCCGCTACAGCGTTGGCTCCATTTTCCCGTTCTTATGTCATTCCTTCCAAATCATGCACCAGGTGCAGCGCTTACCTTATTTCATAATCTCGGTTCTTGCAAATCATGCTCCTGCTGCAGCGTTGGCATCGATTCCGGGCTTCCAGTCCTTCCAACCGTGCTCCCACTGCAACGCTGGTCTCATTTCCGTGGTTCCGGTTCTTTGACATCGTGCTCCCGCTGCAACGCTGATCTCATTATGCGCGTCCCGCTTTCCAAACCGTCAATTTGCATTTACCGTTATGTGTCTTCTCTGATTTCCCTCTGACCTTGTTGTCGGCAGGAGTCGCGTTCTCGACGCGACGACGTCGGCTGTGGCCGTGCTCTTCTATGCCATGCTATGCCGTGCTATGCCATACATCGAGTACCCATTCGGGATCATTGCCCAGTTCGGCATCCCACTGTGCGAATCGAGAGGGGATCTACGCAATGGTATGGGATGGGAGGGAGGGGTCGGACGTAAGATATGACGCTTGCTCGTCTAGCTTGTCCTCCTCCTCCTCCTCCTCCTCCTCCTCCTCCTCCTCCTCCTCTTCTGTACCCCCTCCTCCTCTCTCCTTTACCTCCTCCTCCTCCTTTCCCTCATCCTCCTCCTCCCTCCTTTACCTCCTCCTCCTCCTCCTCGTCCTCCTCCCCTTCCTCCTCGTCCTCCGTCTCCTTCCTCCACGTCCTGCTCCTCCTCTTCCTCGCCGTCCTCCTCCGCCGCCTAGTGCTCCCCAGGGGCTGCCCCCGCCCCGCCCCCCTCCCCCCCCCTATAGAAACAACTTCTCCTCCTCCTACTCCTGCTCGTCCTCCTCCTCCTGCCCCCCTGTCCTCCTCCTGCTCCCCCTGTCCTCCTCCTCCTCCTGCTACTCATCCTCCCAATCTCCCTCCTCCTCCTCCCAGTCTCCCTCCTCCTCCTCCTCCGCCTCCTCCTCCTCCCTTAGGCACCACCAGGCGTGTGTGTAGGAGGGCTGGGTGATTCCCCTGAAACGTGGTCACCAGTTAGGACCCTGAAACTTGAAATGCCCAACACTTGAGACGGATAGAGGGGGTGTCTGTTTGGTCAAGGAACTCGCATAAACGCCGCGCTGCGCACTGGTTTCCCCTTCTGCCTCCTACCAACCTCCCTCTTGTTTCCTCCTTCCTCGGTGTCCAACCTCCCGCCTCCCTCCTCTCTTATATCTTCTCCTCAGCCTTCACGTTTTCCTGACATAGCATCGTCATTTAGTATCTTCCGTGCCTACCCGTTCCTCTCCTCCTCCTCCTCCTCCTCCTCCTTCTCCTCGTCCTCTTCCTCCTCCTCCTCCTGCTCCTCCTCGTCTCTCGCTGCTCTCGCCTATCTCCCTCCCTCCTCCCTCCTTTCCCGCGATTGCCTTCTTACCCTGGCCGTTCTCCTCCTCATCCGCCACCGTGGCCCCTGACACCCTGGGGCGTGGTATGTCCAAGTATGTATGTGATGTGCTCAAGAATCAGAGCAAGCTCCCTCCAGCTCACCGGGCACAGACGCCCCCAAACCCCGATGCCGACATCTTTCGGCAGCCCGACGCTTCCCTGGCGGTCGTGAAGGCCTCCATGCTGCACACGAGATAGTAACACTCGAGGGCGACGCAAGAGGTCCCAAGACGGGAGGGCCAAATTGAGGGCCCAGCCAGCTCAAACTAGAGAAAGGCAGACAAAGTTGTCCAAAGTGTTTGATTCCCTGGGTTTCCAACTCAAAATGGCATATGGTGTACCAAAAGACCCCTCCCCCCCCAAACCAAAAAAACGCCACGTAGCCCAAGAAGGTTCAAGAGGATCTCAAGAATACCCGAAGAGGGTCAACGAGGGCCTGTCTGGTGGCCCCCGAAACTGCCCAGGAGCAAAAGAGAAGCTGCCCCGAAGCTGCCCCCCAGAGGTGCCCCAGAAGACGCAGAGCAAAAACAGAAGCGCTCCCAAACGAAGGACCGGGAGCCGAAAGCACACCAAACGCTGCCACTGCGCCCAGAGATGCCCCCAGGACTCCCCCAGGGAGCCTCACAAGAGGGTCCTACAACGTCCCTCGAGAATCAGTTCAATACACACACACACACACACACCCTTTCACTCTTTCTCCCGTTCTCTGTGTCTCTTTCTCTCTGTATGTGTGTGTGTGTGTTCTCTCTCTCTCTCTATATATATATATAATGATATTTACACATATCATTTGTTTGTTCTTGCTCTGACTCTACCTGACTCTACCTGACTCTCTCTCTCTCTCTCTTTTCTCTCTCTCTCTCTCTTTCTCACGCTCTCTCTTTCTGTCTCTCTGACGCTGGCAAACACACTGTTCAGTTCCACGGCTCAGTGGGGCTCGGTGGAGAGAGGCGTGCACAGTGTTACACTGGTACATCGGCAACGCTTGCCGCAGGCAGACTCCTTTCTTTATCTACGACGGTACCCAGCACACACCCGATCGTCCCTCGAGTATCCTGGGAGGGCGCGGGAGCAGCCTCGACAGAGGCAGCCTCAGAAGTTCATGAGCGAGTCATCACCTACACAATCTGTTTGCACGGCACCATCAACCACGTTGGCATTTGTCCAGGTACTGGGCAAACCTCCGCGAGGGTGGCACGAAACGAGCCCATGGGCCAGCGACATCTCCCGCATACAAGCAAACGCTATCGCACCCCCTCAGGCGTCGGAGGGACCGGCAAACACCCCGACGGTCTCGTTGAAGTAAATCTGGAAAGCCCTATCCTTGAACTTCTTGTTCATGTTGGCAGACCACATGTGCTCTGCGGCGGTGTCCCACTCCTCCATCGGGAACAGGCCCCTCATGCGACTGACGTCCATGAGGAACTGGTGGCGCGTGACGATGCCGCCCCATGTATCCCAATTCATCTGGTAGAGCTGGATCCTCTTGTTCATCTCGTCGGTCTTGTTCTCCCAATTGCCGTGGAAAGCCTCGCCACGCAGGGGGCGCTTCTGAGAGAGCCACTGCTCCGGGCTCCAGCCTTGCAACATGCCTTTCACGCGATCCACGGGGGTGCTGCCGTGCACCGCCCCGGGAATCACGGCGAACCTGTTGTACGGGTTCTTCTGGGGATCCAGGTTGAAGGTGTTGATGACCGAGGCCATGTACACCCTCTCATCCGACTTCATGAGGGAGAGCGCCTTGGAAATGAAGTTTGGGGCGGCGTGAGAGTGATTGCTCCTGTAGATGCGCCACTGGGCGTCCATGTGGTACACGTACTGGCCCTTGCACTGAAAGTTCTGGTCCAGCGCCATGGTGTTCACGTACATCCTCTCGTAGAAGCTGGAATTCTTCTCCGCCTCAGGGATGGCGTAATGCTCGAGAGCCTCCTTCAGCATTTCGGGAGAGCCGTAGTCGACGACCTTCACCCTCCACTGCGGGGCTGCGGTCGGGCAGTGATCGCGGAGCAGCTCGGCGGCGGCCCTGGCGGTAGCCACCGCCGCGGACTTCAGCGCGAGGTCCACGCCGAACCTCGTGATGCGCCGACCGCTCAGTAGCACCATCTCGCCTCCAGTGGCACTGTGTGGTGCAACCGAGTGGCTGGTGACGTTGCCTGGCGTCTCCGGGCCAAGCTTGTCGTGGCCTGCATGCGGGGCGTCCAGCACGATCATGACGTCGGCGAAGCAGAAGCGCAGCGCGCGAATGGAGGCGAGAACGTTACGGTGCATCTCCTGGAAGGAGGGCTGGCCCCTCTTGTGTCCACTGCTGCGACAGCCGCTCGCGCCACAATGGGTGCCGTAGCTGAAGGTCACGTCGCTGCCCGGAACGGACTCCCACGCGTCGACCATCTCGCTGACCTCGGTCTCGTTGAGGGGCTCTGCGAAACCCTCGAGCTCGCTGCCCGCATTGGTTTCCATCTCCGCTCTGTGCGTGTTGGCCTCGAGGGCATCCTGATTGAACAGCTCGGAGGCCTTCAGCCTCGTCTTCAGCTCCCTTTCCTGGCTGATCTCATCCGTCTTGGCGGTGTACTCGAGCTCGTCGAAATTCAACGTGTCCCCCCATGTGCGGAACTCCTCGATGGTAAGGCTTCGGGATGCTCACAGACAGCCCCCCCCCCATCCCGGCTGGCCTCGACAGGCCCCCCGAGCAGTCCCAGCTGGCCTCAACAGGGCCTCCGAGTAGTCCAAGGCGGTCTCAACACACTCACCCTCGGGCGCGGAGCGTCCCAGGGCCGCCGCCGAAGCGGCGTAGGGTGTTGAGACCGGCCTTGACCAATCGGGGGGCCTGCTGAGGCCAGTTGGGACTACTCGGGGTGGCCTGTTGAGACCAGTCGGGACTACCTGGAAAGGCCGTCAACGCGCAACCCGACGCCTTGCCACTCCTCGATGCCAACCCAATCCAAGACGTCCGGCTGATCCGGCTGCTCCGACTGGAGGCCAAAGACGGCGCGGCCAGTGAATCCCAGCAGCGCCGCGGAGAGCGCGGTACGGGACATGGCGGTAAGAAGAATGTAATTAGGTGGTCTGCGCCCAAAGGAGTGTACGATGGCAGATATTGCGCGTAGCAGGGGCCGCAAATTGCTGTGGGGCCATCTCTGTGCGCGACTCTGCCTCTTCCTCTGCGCCTGCCTCCGTTTTCGACTCCGCCTCAGTCTGTGTCGGGTCTTCTGTCTTCAATCCTGGCTACAATTTCCTGCCTGTTGTTTTAGGTCGGGCATGTCCCCCTATAGGCGGAATTTGGGCGAAAAGCACATGTTAAAGAATGCAACAGGTGCTAAAAAAGTCGTCCCGTTTGTTGTTTGACTAATTTTCAATATTTCGGCTTTAGAGGGACATGCCCAACTTAAGGCAATCAATGCCAGTCTCTGTCTGCCTGCCTCTCTGCCACGACCAGACTGTCTCCCTGCAGACAGGTACGATGAGCAAGCTCTTACCCTTGGAATTCGGCATCGATCGCCGCCCCTTGGGTCCCCAAGGCTTTCTGGCAATCACATGCAGCTTCCTGGGGCTCCGTCTGGCAGGCCGGCTTCTTGTCCGATGTACCCAACGTGACCACTCCAAGGCTGAACAAAACCGTAGAGCTTTCTGCCTGAGATGGCCTCCACCTCCACCTTTTGCGCGCTGGCCTCAAATAGCCTGCCGCCGGATACTGTGGCGACGATCGAGCGCAAGTCGACCTGAATCTCAATCTTGACTTCGTCCGCCTTCGCCCTGCAGCCGCGCTGAGGGAAGGCCGGCGCTCCTCCCAGCACTGGACCGCGTCTTGCCATTCAGCAAACGAAGGTCCCGAGGGGGCACGGGTCCTGCACCCTGAGGCTTCACGCCCCCCCGCGGGACCAGCTCTTCATCCCGAAGTGCTGTCTGACGGTCCCGCGGCCCGTGGGAGGCCCCCCAGACTCAGACAACGGCGAAATACCTTGATAGGACCTGCTTCTTCGGAGTTCGCCTACACCGACGCCTCCGAGTGGTCGGGCTGCCTCGACTCGGGTGCCCGCGACGAAGGCGCGGCCCATGAATCCCAGCAGCGCCACCGCGAGCGAAAGGTTTTGTCGGTGTTTACCGTCGTGCTTGTTGTGATCGTCCTGCCTATTGCTGCTTGCGGCTTGTCTCTAACGTGCCGCGTTCTCTTGTCTTCTTATGAGGTGTGGGTGGGGGGGGCGCGGCGCTAGAGAAAGCCGTGTGTGTGTGTGCTTGTGCCTGAGCCTCCTGGCCGCTCTAGGCTGGCCTAGATTTCTCACAGGGACGCCACCGGGCATCCACGAGGGACCAAGCGGCCTAAAGAGCACCTCGAGAGAGGGCCCCAAGCAAGTCCCACTAGCCCAGGACAGCCCAGGATAGCTTCAATGCGACCCCAGGTCAACCCGAGAGGACCCCAAGAAGCCACGAAGAGGGCCCCAGTCGGTACGCCACGAGAGAAGGCAACAGCTGGGGTGGGGAGGGGCACGTTCTCCCCACAAAGGCGATGCCACTTAAAGTGTCTTTTACCTTGCCATCGCTCGGACGTCCATTCCCTGTGCATTTTTAGGTTTCGTGCGTGTCTCTGTTTGCTCGATGATCCAGGATGCTCCTCCGGGGCCCTCGCCGAGAAAAAAATGCACACGTCCGAGCGATGCCAGGCTACCTGCGTTAGCAGCGACTGGATGGGCGCCCCGCCTTCCGCCTCGTGGGCGCTCGGGCGGGCGCCCTCGTGGACGCCCCGTGCGCCGGCTGGAGTTTCCCACTACCCCCCTGGTGGGCGCCCGTGGGCGCCTCGTAGGCTCCCTCCTCCTCCTCCTCCCCCTCCCCCTCCCCCTCCTCCTCCCCTCCCCTCCCTCCTCTCCTCCTCCTCCTCTTCTCCTCCTCCTCCTCCTCCTCCTCCTCCTCCTCCTCCTCCTCCTCCTGCGCTCCCTGGGTGTCTGGGTTTTCGTCTGGTGGACGTCCGTGGGCACCTCGTGCGCACCCCGCGCGAGCACCGCGCACCCATCCGGCTCATTCGCGCTGTTTGTTCATAGTCATCCTGTCCTGCACGGCCGTTCATGTCAAATACTGAATGCTGCCATTCGCAAGAGGCCCGCGTGTATCGACCCCCCCTCCGTATCAGCACCATCATCAGTAGCATCATCACCCTCATCAGGATCATTGCCGTCGCCATCGTCAACACCATCGCCATCATAATCATCAATCTCACCATCATGATCCTCGCAATCGCCATCGCCAGAGTCACCGTCATCGTTGTTGCTGCTGTCGTCACTCTCGTCATCACCGCCACCTCTGCCACCATCACCATCAACATCAACATCACCATCAGCATCAACATCAACATCATCATCACCATCATCTTCGTCGTCGGCATCGTCGATGTGGTCGCCATCATCATCATCATCATCACCATCATCATCATCATCATCATCATCATCATCAGCATCATCATCGTCATCAACATCATCATCATCATCATCATCATCATCATCATCGTCGTCATCATCATCATCATCATCATCGTCGTCATCATCATCATCATCATCCTCATCCTCATCCTCATCCTCATCCTCATCCTCATCCTCATCATCATCATCATCCTCATCATCATCATCATCATCATCATCATCATCATCATCATCATCACAATCACCATCATTAGCATCATCACCAGCAGCATCAGCATCATCAGCAGCAGAATCATCCTCTCCATCCTGTTCCTCTTGTCCCTCCTCTTCCCTGTGCCCCGCATTTTCCTCCTCTTCGTCGCTACTCCTCCTCCATCCTCTTCTGGGGAAACAACACGGGTACTGATACCGCTGCTCCCCAGGCCTCTCACGGGTGCGTTCTGACCAGAATGAAATGGAATTCCAGCCATGGCGGCGAAGGCTGTCCAAGATGAGCAGCGGCATCAGTATCTGTTCTTCTCCCGGAATTCCTCCTCCGTCCTCTTCCTCCTCCTCCTCCTCCTCCTTCTCCTCCTCCTCCTCCTCCTCCTCCTTCTCCTCCCCCTCCTCGTCGCCTTCCCATCCTCTGAGGTGGAACGTTAGGGGGGGGACTGGCTCAGAGGGGCGGGGGTCACATCGACATGGGATCGGAGATACATCGCCAATGTATCAGCAGTAGGCCTCCAGTCCCAGAGATCCGACGTCGTGTTTCTTTCAATGCGCGGTCTCCGGAAGGCTCGACCCATTCCCCAGGACCGGTTTTTCGTCCAGAGCCGCGTTTTAACGGCCCCGGGGCCCGCTGAGGGCCCCCAGAGGCCGAAAGCTGTGAAAAACGTCCGTTTTGATTTTTCCAATGCGTTGGATCTCCGGGGTTTGCGAGTCTGGGTGCTCCTGGCTGGGGTGAGCTATCGGGCGCGCTGGGGTGAGCTATCGGGCGCCCCCACCGACGATGCATGGGCGCCGATTGGGGTCGCCTTGTCCCTCCCCCCCGGCCCATGCGCCCCTCACGTTAGGTCGGGCATGTCCCCCCAAAGGCGGCCTTTGGGCAAAAAATTAAGAAATAGTCAGAAATAATCAAACATAGCCAAGAATAGTCAAAAAATCGTCCCCAGACGATTTTTAGACTATTTTTGAACATCCCCCCTGTAGAGGGACAGGCCCGACTTGACCCTAACGTTGCCCCCCCTCCCTCATCCTGGACAGACGTAAGACTCGAGTTCGGAGAACTCGAGCTGGCCTGACAGGGGCCGACAGACAAATGACGAGACCCAACCTGACATTTGGCGCGAGCTCCCGCTGCAAGCATCCCACGAAAACTGGACCGTCAAAATCCAAGACGGGCCCAGAGGACTCCCAGATGGGGTCTGAGTAGTATGGGGTCAACGGATCGTGCCGCATCCTCGATGCATCGGCGCTGCACCCGCGACATCGGCGACGCATCGGCGCCGACGGCGCGGAGAAGAATCAGGCTTTACATCGAGCGGCATCGAGCCGCATCGGCGATGCGTTGGCGATGAGGCGCGATCCTCCGACCCCATCAACTTGGACCACATCTTTCTGGGGCAACTCATGGGAGCTTCCTCTACCTCTTGTTGGCTCTTGCGAATCGACGCTGCTCGACGCTAGTCGACGCTAGTCGACGCTCATCGAAGCTAAATCGACGCTCGTCGACGCTACATCAGCGCTGTCTCATCGATTACTAGACGCTGGCGCACGCTGATGCCCTCCTGAACGGAATTGCGAGGACTCGCGTGGCAGCCACGAGTTGCTACCGAGTTGCGGCGAACTCGGCCCCCAGACATGTGGAGCCTGGAGCCAAGCAGCGACGGCAAGCCCGAGTTCCGGCGACCTCGAGACCCACGCCACACGCCAGGCGAGACCCCAGGCGAGAGCGACCCTTCTGGTGCGCGACCTTCGGGGGCCGCGGGGAGGCCGAGCCCGAGCGCACAAAGCGCTGCTACATCGCACAGCCTTCGGTCACTGGGGGGCCCCGGTGAGCCCGCACCAGAGGCCACTCTCCGGCGAGGCCCTGAGATCCGACGGCACGAACAAAACGGCATCGTAGAAACTCATGACAGGGACCCTGGACCCCACTCCTTCCGTCCATGGTTTCGAGCCGCGTCGATCTGTGAGGGCCCCGGGGTCCGACACTGGGCGAGACAGCCCGGCTCGAGCACATGGAGACGCCTCGTGTGCAGTCACCTGGGGACTCGAGTGTGCCCGCGCCAGAGGTTGCTCTGGCGAAGAGGTGACTCCCCGGACCCCCGACGCAGTGAGAACGTCGACCCCCAGAAGTATCGCTCAATTCCCCGGGACAGGTTCTGCATCCTGAGCCCTGTTTTGACGGCCCCGAGGTAGGGACAAGGAATGGCGACACCAGCACCACCGGGGCGAGGAGATGCGAGGAGGCAAGGGGGGTCTCCCTGGTGGTGTGGCCCCCTCCTCTCGCTCGAGACATCCCCGGCCTCCAGCTCGGGGAGGCGTCGTGGACCTCCTCGCTGGAGGTGGGCCCCCTGGTGGTGCTGGTGTCGCTCCTCCTCCCTCCGACGAGGCCCGGTCAGGGCCCCCAGAGGCCGAAAGTCGCGAACAAAGCCTCCTGTCGTGACTTGCTCACAACGCGAGGGCGTCTCGGCCCCACGCGTCGCCGAGTTTCCCCGGCCCGCGGCGCGGGGGCGGGCTCGCGCCAGCGAGTCGTCGGGCGCCGGCCGGCGTCGCAGGCCCTCGGCCGCGCGCGCCCGCGCCTCCCGCAGCCGGTCCTGGCGGGGGGGGGCAATTCGGGCAGGCGGGGTCGCTGGAACTCTCTCGGCCCTCCTCGGGGCCCTCGTCGTCGTCGTCGTCGTCGTCGTCGTCGTCGTCGTCGTCATCGTCCTCCTCCTCCTCCTCCTCTTCCTCCTCCTCCTCCTCCTCCTCCTCCTCCTCCTCCTCACCGTCCCCCCAATTCTTTGGGAGGGGACCTATGTTAGGAGGGGCAGAAGCATTAGGCATGGGGGGTCTTTCTGCACATGTTTCAGACGGAACCACCCATGCGTTTAGGGATATCCCTTGAAACCGTGAACCTAAATTAGGCCCCGAATTGAGTTAACAGGATTCGAGTTTAATGACTTCTCCCCCATCCACAATTGCACAATGTGAATGTGTTCTGACAATGTTCGCCTCCCCTCTTCCGCGTATGGTTCTCTTACGCACGTGATATGGGCGAGTTGTTATTCCGCATGTGTGCTTTTCAATCCGATCGTTCTCGGTCCTTCAACATGGTACTCACGCTGCAGCGCTGGCCTCATTTCAGCGCTTCTGGTCCGTCAAGATCGTGTTCCTGCTGCAACGCTGGTCTCATTTTCGCGTTCCGGTCCTTCCGAACGGTGCTCCCGCTGCAGCGCTGGCATTATCAATTTCGCGCCCGGCCCTTTCGAATTATGCTCGCGCAGCAGCACTGGACACATCTCCACATTGTCGCCCCCCAGCATGGTTTCCGGCTGCAGCGTTCAGGCAGCCATGATCTGCAGTTCAATGCTGCGCAATGTGCCGCCATACGACGCGATTCCGTGCCTTGCTCTACAAGGCTGCAATGTGCAACGCTGAGCTACGCAGTGCCATGTAATTCGATTGCATGCTATGCAATGATATGCAACTATTGACCACACAATGCTGTAGAATCGGGTTCTACGAAATGGTGAGGGCCGGGGGAAAGGGGCATGACGTCATGTATCGCGCGAGCGCACCTAGCTTGCCCCCCCCAACTCCCCTCCCCCGTTTGCTCGTCCTGCGCCTCCCCCTCCTCCCCGCCTCCTCCTCCTCCTCCTCCGCCTCCTCCTCCTCCGTTTCCTCCTCCTACTCCTCCATTTCCTCCTCCTCGTCCTCCTCCTCCTCTCCTCCCCCCCTTCCTCCCCCCCCTTGCTCTGCTATTCCTGACCTTCACCCCCCCCGCCCCTCTCCTCCTCCCCCTCGGGCTCGCAGCCTGCAGGGGCGGCGCGGAGGAGGAGAAGGGAGGGTACCGAGACGCCGATCGCGAAGCCAGTGCGAGCCCGGAGACCTCCCGCGCAGATCGGCGGCGCGCCCGGGGGGCGATGGGCGGAGGGGGTGGGCCTGCCCAGGAGGCTCAAGGAGGGCACCGCCCCAGCCGAGGAAGTCCGTTGGGCCCTCTCCGAGGCCACAGGAGGCTTCTCATAAGGCTGGAAGGCTTCCCGCCGCCTGGTGAGAAGGCCTGCCCCCTCTCACTGAACCCCCCCCCTCCAGCGCGCAGTCGGAGCAGAGCCATCGCGAGTCTGTCTTCTGCCCCCCCATGGTGGCGGCCCTCCTCCACCACCCGCGCCCCCGAGGCGCCGCCCACCGCCATCGCGCTTGGGCGCTCTCGCGAGGGCGGTGGTCCCCACTGGGGCCTCGCCCCCTCCCCGCGCCCCAAGCCCCCGATCCGCGTCCTCCGCGGCCTCGAGCTCCAGCGCCTCCATGGAGGGGGGAGGGGGGGGGGGGGAAAGGCAGCGAGGAGGTGAGAAAGAGAAAGAGGAGGCGAGGGACAGGGGGGGCGGTGCAGCGAGGGTGCAGGGGGGATGCGTGGGGAGGAGAGGCGAACTGGGGAAACAAGGCAGGTAGGGAGGAGGACAGGAAGGTATGAGGAGGAGGAACAGCAGCGGCAGGAGGGATGAGGGAGGGAGGGGGGGGAAGGGGGATGAGGAGCATGAGGAACGGGAGGATATGAGGAGAAGGAGGAGGAAAACGACGACGAAGGGAGAACGAGAAATACATCAGAGAGAAGGGAGAAAGGGGGGATGAAGGAGGTTGCGAGAGGGGAGGTGTAACAGGAGGGGGTAAACAGAAGGAAAGATATCATCGGAATGACGGAGAGAGGGTTGCTCAGGGCTGGAACTCGCTCAAACATGTCTCGACCCACTTCCCTCAGGGCCCGTCAGGGCAATATAAGCTGGAAGACAGCCAGGTATCCACTTGATGGGCAAGAGCCTAAGCACTTGTGCCACCATGCATCTAAGCGCAAAAGGGGATACCATCATCACCCAGATGCACGTGTGCCACGCGTGGCGAAGAGATCTGTGAACGTCAAGGGGCGAAAGCGGGCCGTTCTATCATGGCGAAAGAAAACGGGCAGGCTTCCGATTCACTTGTATGAGCGACTGTGGAGAATACCAGCTGCCATGCGTGCGGGACAGCCCTCATTTGACCGTCGTCCTCCTCAATCTTCCTGTCATCACTACGGAAGGTGGTAATGCGGCATCGCTTGCCGCAGCTTGAGCAAGTACTCCAGATTTTGGAATACGCATACCTTTCCATGGAAAAGCCCCGAAAACTTCCAGAGGGAGCGACTCTGTGGAGCCGGATCAGGAGTGGTCAGTCACCAGTAAGTTGTTACCATCTGCACTTCGACAACGCCCACGGCGTTCGAATCTCTTGGGATGCTTTTGCACGGGGGCCGGACGGGGCTGGCGCGGGCACCCCGCCAGGGTCAGATCGCACTCCCCTGGGGGAAGGTTTGGTACACAAGAACGACTCCGCAGAAGGGGTACTCTGCAGACCGAACCGAAATCCAGGATGGTTTGCGACACCCTCGCCCGCGACCCTGGCCGATGACCGCTGGGGGGCCAGTGGCACCCCGTGGCGCCATGGCCAGCGCGATCTTAGCGCAGCAGGGACACGCGAGGCAAGACATGGGCCGGGCAGTCAGGGGGAGGGTATCTTAGAGGCCACGTCGCATCTCGGACCCGCCCAAACCCGAAGGATATTCGGTAGAGTCTATCAAACAAATGGGTGGATCAAATCCCGTCTGTCCGATGTGAAGCGTCGGCAACGGCACGCCTGGAGCAAAGAAGAAGTTCCCCGATTCGTGAAACAAACAGTTCCAGAGCACATTGCCAGACGTCGTCGTACAGGGAAGGCAAATATGTAGATATCGTGCACATAGACGGCATGCACTGGTAGATACAGCATGTTTCGATGTAGTAACCAATGCATGTCTCTCTCTCTCTCTCTCACTCTCTCTCTCTCTCGTTCGCGCGCATTCTTGAGTCCTTGGAGCAACTAGCTTGTGCAAGTCTCAACGGGTATCCCTGCATCTGGGCGCCGCGCTGATGAAATTGAGCCGACGCGTTATTCATAGCCCTGTCAATGTAGTGGCTACCAACCAATCCTCCAACGAGGCACGCAATGTTCAATAGAGGAAAATGAACTGGTGGATGATGCTAAACAGCTACGCGGCCGTCAGGAAACCGACAGGGCCAGAATTACTGCAAGGGCCAATGAATGCGGACCATCCTGTGCCACAAGCAGCTGGATTTGCAATCCTTTGCGAATCGCGAGCCGCATCCGAATCCCGAACTCACCCAAGCCAGACACGTACGAGTCGCTCGAAAAGCGAGCCAGAGCGCACAAGAGTACGCATCAGCGGTCGGGATCGCAGCCCATTCATTGACCCATCAAGAGACACTGAACCTGTCTCTACGCCTCCGCGCACACTAGAAAGGATAATGGGCGAAAGCGTTTTCATGATCCCCCACATCATACCCCTGACCAGGGATGCCAGTGGAACCAGCGGTGTGTGGGCAAGGACGCTAACCATCAACAATGGTTTGTGTTGGGGGGTGGGGCCCGGCGGATCCGTTTCCCCCTGCACGCCGCGCGTCGGGACGAGATACTGCGCGTGCGAGACTGGATCTTCGTGTATGCGAGAGCCGCGGTGTTGCACAGATCAGGTGCTCCTCTCTCCCTCCCCTTCCTGCCTGGCTGCCCAGTAACCCCCGCCTCTTTGCCAGCCGGGCCCCGCGCCCCTGGCGTCACGCCATCCTGGCGTGCGGACCCCCTGGTCCCCCTACTTAGGGCCTTTCGGCATAAGTTCTGTCCACCCTGCAACGCAGCCCCTGGCACAACTGGTTCCGCACGGCCGTGGGGGTCCCCACGCCCTTGTACGCCGCAGGCGTCGGGCTGCGGGCTGCTGCTGCCCCGCCAGCCGGGGGGTCTCCCGCAGGCGGGGCGCTCCTCTCCCCTCCCCCTCCCCTCCCTCCCTTCCCTGCCTGCTCCCCTTCCTCCCCTCGCGCGCCGCCATGGCGCCGCTTGCTGCCGCTCCGGGCGCGCAGCCCCCCCCCCGCTGGTGTCCCCGGTTGCGGACGCTGCGCCAGGGCGCACCTCCCCACAGCCATCCACCTGGTGAGCACAGCACTGTGCTGTTGGCAGTCCCCAGCCTGGACTTCAGCACTGCTTCACCGACTTGCTCTACCTCGGACTGAGTACCAGCAGCGTCCGTGGGTGCACCGACGCAGCTACTGCTGGCCGCACCGGCGTGGAAGTCTTCCGCGTCTGAGTGCCCTCCTCCTCCTCCTCATCATGTCCTCCGCGCGGCCGCCCCTTCCCCCCTGATCCCCCTCTTGCACGCCGGCCAATTCGCCTTTCGGTCGCCCCGAATCGCCACCCGCTGGAGCAGCTTCACTGCCTCGCCGCTGACGGAAAACATGTGCGTGGTGTGCGTGAGTTTGCCCATTTTCTTTGCCGCTGTGGCCGCCGTGTACCTGGTCATTCTTTCCTCTTCGCTCACTTCTGCCTGGCTCGCCTTAGGCCGGTCAATCCCGCCTCACTTCACAGACTGGACTCGCTGTGTTGCGGAGCACGCAGCGGCAGGGTAAAAGTATGCGCGCTAGACGTACGAGCTCGCGATCTCTTCTCATTCCGTGCACGGCCTCCTTTCTCCGAGGCCTCTCACTGCAAGTTCTCGCCAGGGGGTGGTGCACGCCCGTCGCCAGACCGACCGCCACCACTCTCGCCAGTGGTTCTACGCGCGGCTCTGGCCCACGACGATGCCAAAATCTGCAGCCGGCGAGGCAACATGGGAGAAGGAGAAGGAGAAGGCCGCCGAGGAGCACGAGGAGGATGAGGGAAGGGAGGGGGACATGTTCGCGAGACTTTCGCCAGTTGGCGGAGTCAGGGACGATGCTAAAACCTGCAGCTGGCGAGGCAACATGGGAGAGGGAGAAGGAGAAGGCCGCCGAGGAGCACGAGGAGGATGAGGGAAGGGAGGGGGACATGTTCGCGAGACTTTCGCCAGTTGGCGGAGTCAGGAAGGTCTGCGGCAGCTTAGGCTCGGCGGCAGCAGGTGGGAAGTGTCCGTAGCTCCTGTTGGCTCAGGCGTCGAGGTCTAGGAGTCTAGGACGGCGCTTCAAGGCCTCCATGCGAGGCCGCACACAATTGTGGTCCCCTGCGCCGGAGCCACGAGAGCAGCCGTTCGGAGTCAACTGATGCAGAAACGACGTCACCTTCGTTGACATTCGCAGTGAGAGGGAAGGAGGGAGAGGGGAAGGGAAGGGAGAGAGGTACATGAGGGGGAACGCTAGGGGAAGCCAGCTCAGAGGGGGACACATCGACCTGGCATCAGCGATATGTCGCCGATAGATCGGCGGAAGGCGCCGGAAGACGACTCCGCACGCTCCTGGGCGGGGTGGGCTAGCGGGCCCCTTATCGGCGATGAGTTGGCGACTGGGGGCCGATCCCTGAGCCAACAGCCCTGTCGCCAGCATCAGGATCGCCAGGCAAGGGACGAAGAGGCTTTGTGGCCAGGGCGAGCCTCGGCCACGAGCGGGTTCCCCGACCTGGATCCAAGGAGCGGCCCCGAAACAAGAGCCCCTCCCGAGCGTCTCGACAGCATCCCCCCGAACGTTGCCCCTGAGACGAGCGAGCGAGCGGGCGAGCGCGCACCGTCGGTCCGACGGACTGGCCCCGCGAGGGCAGCGCAGGCGGGCTGGGGCCCAGAGAGGGGTCGGGCCTCGGCGTTGGCGGTAGTCATTCCGAGTGGTGGGAGCGGGGGTCGGACAGATGTGATGATGGGCTCGTTTCCACCGCCACCACCATAAGTTGGAAGGGGAGGGGGTCCTCATCCTCCACCCCCTCCTCCTCCCTCCTCCTCCTCCTCCTCCTCCTCCTCCTCCTCATCCTCCTCATCCCCATCCTCTTCCTCCTCCTCCTCCTCCTCCTCCTCCTCCTCCTCCGTAGCCATTTTGGCTCAAGATGCTTTGTTCCACAGGGGAACAAGTGGATACCGCTAGTCCGCGGCCAGTGCCAGGGCTCTTGAGCCCGACAGCTTTGTTCAACTCCCCGTGTGCCTCCTGCAGCCCGCAGGTGAGCTTCCTCTCGTCCCGCCTGACGACATGGGGAAGCCTGCGGCGGCGCGTGGCTATGTGTCTTGTCCTCATGACGGTTGTCGCTACAAGTGGAATTGGAAGCGGCACACGACATGCTGGCAGTGCGAAGGCCTTCTGCGTCCTGTCGGGGGCCAGCCTCCACCTCGTGATGCAGGGTCGTGGAGCCGTGGACCGCCCGCGTTACCTGGTACAGCGCAGCCAGGACATCCACCAAGCCCCTTCGTACGGCCGCCCCCAGGGCAGTGGGCTCCTCCAGGGGCGGCAGCCACGGCGGCCACCCTCGGCGACGGCAGTGCCAACCCGTTCGCTCCTTCGACCGATCAGCTGTTCGAGGCCTTGCTGCGTCGCGCCCCGCAGCATGGCGAGCGCTTGGCAGCGCTCAAGAAGGAGTTCGAGGACGCTCCGCCGCCAGCTGCCGCCGCCCCAGTCAAGCCCAGCCTCGAGCGTGAGCGAGAGGCACAGCGGCTGGCAGTGGCTGCTCGCAAGGCCGATGAGTCCCTTGCGAAGGCGATCGCTCACGAACAGGAGTGCACCGACTGGTTGGCACGGGCTCGGGCTGCTGTGGAGCAGGCTGCGCAAGATGCAGCTGACGCCAGGCTGGCCCATGAGCAGCAGTTGGAGCAGGACCTCCAGCGCCTCAAGAGTCGAGAAGGTGCTGCACGTGTTGCCGCTGCCGCCGACCCCAAGCCCAAGCTCAACCTGTCCAGCTTTCTCGACGAGGGCGACGAGCTCGGGCAATTGTTCGAGTTCGAGGACGGCGAGGCCTTCGACTTCGCCGATCTGGACCTGGCCAAGGAAGACATCGAGGCTTGGCAGAAGCACAAGATTTCGTTGGCACAGGAGATCAAGCAGGCGATCAGTGCGGCGATTGGCCCAGCAGCTGCTCAACTGGGTGCTCGCAGACAGCAGTTCAAGGAGTTCAAGGCTCGCATGGCCTCCAAGCGTCGACGCGTGGGAGCTCAAGGCGAGGCAGCTGCTGAAGGTAAAGATCGTGGTGAGGAGCAGCCTGCAGGTGGAGACCAGCCTGCTGCCCCTGCCGCAGGCGATGGTCAGGCAGCACCTTCTGCTGGGCAGCGCGCCGCGGCCTCGGCAGCAGCCACTGCCGCCGCTGCTGCAGCAGCGCCTCCCTCGCAGCCCCAGGAGGCGGCGGCAGGTGAGGCGCCCCCGAAGGCGAAGGCGTCCCAGGAGCGAGTGCAGCGGGTTCTGGCAGAAGCCAGGGGCAACCCGCCCTCGTCGGCGACCTTCGCTGACGCTGCTGTGGCTCCACAAAAATGCGGGTAGCACGGTTCGTCTGTACCCGAAGCCGAGACAATCTCAAAATGCGGCACCAGAAGTTCGGCGATTGCTATTGCATAATCTTTCCATGTGGGGGCACAAGGCCACCAAGCTTTTTGCAGAGAGTGATGTTGATATCATCATCACGCCCGAGACGCACGTGCTGGCTTGCGACACTCAGGATATTTTGAGCACGCTGAAGCAGCACAAATGGCAAGGTATTGTTTCTCCAGCATACCCCACGACCTACGTGAAGAAGGCAGGTGGCATTGTTCTGGGTATCCGTCAACATCTCTGCTGGTCTTCTTTTCGCCACTTGTCGGACGACCCTGACAACGCGATCGGCTTAGTTGACGTCAGCAGCAAGCAGAAGTTATCGGGGCCTTTGTCCTTCAAGGATGTGGTGGCGGTCGAGTGGAAGATCGCCAGAGTCCCGCTGCTAGTGATTGGTGCTTATTTGACTGTCTCAGTGGGGTTGGAAGCACCCATCAATGTCGCAAAGCTTCTCACTATTTCGGCGCTGTTGGACAATCATGCTGGGCCTTGGATCATCATGGGAGATTTCAGCGCTACTCCCCTGGAGATGGCCATTTGGATTCGTAAGTGGAATGGACATTTTTACCACCCACCTGGCATCACCCACACGTCCACGAGGGGCAAGGGGCAGCGACTTATCGACTATGCTGTGGCCTCTCAGGATTTTTCTACGCTTTTTCATGATGCGATCCAGCTGGATGCTGAGGGTGGTGACCACTACGGCATGATTTTGGAGTTGAATGTTTCTGCACAACAGTCTGCACGTCGAGTCTTGGACTTACCGAAGATGTTCCTGCCACCGCTGCCCACCAAGTTAAAGGCTGACCCCAACAGCAAACGGTCGAGGAAGAAATTGGAGTTGGAGCGGCGACGGCAGCAGCGAGCTCTGGACCACCCGGAGGATCTCGAGCAAGAACTTCCTGAACCCGAGTCTGAAGACGAGGAGTTCTTGGCGCAACCTCAGCAGGCCAGCACGTGCACGAAATACCCAGAGGAGGCTCGCAAGTTTCTACATCGAGATTTTTTCGACTTCGACTCCGAGGCGCTTCAGCAGATGTGGCAGTCGCATATTTATGACCACAAGGCTTCCGAGGTCAAGCCTGTAGCTCAGGACTGCCACCCAGCCAAGCATTTAGAGTGGATGGTTGAAGATCTGGATAAGCTTTGGACCACCATTGACAACAACACTCTCCAGCACTGTGAGTGGGCCCTACCGCCAGATTGGATACAAGACAGCCTCTCGTATAAGTATGATCCCGAGACTGCCATCGAGCTGGGATCAGACTACGGAAGATTTACGTCAGTTTTTTGAGAATTTTCTGTGTCGTGTACTTGAGGTACCACCAGATCGAGCTTGGCATTACAAAGGTCGTGGAGTTGCGAGGGAATTTAAAACTTTGCCGATTTCAACACCCGCGCCAACAAGAGCGCATTCAGATATGTCAATCAAGTGGTGGCTGCAGGTTTCTGGTTGGATTCAGGAGCTTATTCGAGTCTCTGCCAGTGGAACCCAGCAGCACGTCGAGGAGTTCTCTACTGCAGCAGGTGGTGACTCCTCCCCTCCTCCCCTCGTTTTGCTCAGCCCAGTTTCGAAAAAACAAGTCAGGACAGCATCGAGAACAGACTTCTTGGTGCATAGGTTGGCACAGGCTCCTGCTGACATGCCACTTTCAGGTTTCGGCCAGGTAATAGGTAGAGATCGGCAGGACTGGGCCAGCACACTTCTTAACATTCACAATCTACCGAGAGAAGCTCTCATTATGATGGGAGCATCAGCGGATAAGATCGCAGCAGCTCTGGAGCGCAAGGCGGCCAAGGAGAGTTACAGCGCAGTTCAATCGTGGATTCGAGATTATTTTGCGCAAGGCTGTGGGAAGTTGCATCGGCACGCGAAGCCCAAGACGCGTGTTGAGACAGAGTACCGCGACCTGAAAGGAAGTTCCACGAGCCTCAAGGATATGTTGGTCCAGAAGAGTCAGCTTTGGCAACGCAAGTGGGCATCCAAAATTTTGTCAGTGCAAAGGCTTTTTCAACTCCTTCGACGGGCTCACGCTAAGGCAGCAGAACAACCTTGGCCAGCTCTGGAGCCTGAGCAGATCGCCATCACCGTCAAGCAGATTAACTCCAGCAAGGCCGCAGGCATCGAGCAGCTGGGCGGTACCCTCAAGTAATTACCTCCAGCTGGCATTGCTCACTTGACGGGGTTTTTGAATGAATGCGAACGACGAGGAGGCTGGCCTTGGCAGATTCAGACTGCTATTGTTGCTCTTTTGAGGAAAGGCGCTGACACTGATCGTTCAATTGGTCTGATCCCAGATTTGATACGCTTGTGGAGTTCAGCCAGACAGATTTTTCCTTCTGAATGGGTCGAGCAGATGGCTGGCAAGTGGGACAATGCGATCAGAGGTTCTTCTTGCTTGCGTGTTGGACTTTTACGAGCCTTCTCTGACGAAGCCGTCAGCATGGGGCCCAAGCACACCGTCTCGGCTAGTCTTCTGTGGGACATCGACAGCTTCTACGACTCGTTAGAGTACGAGCGCCTGTTCGAGCAGGGCTTGGCCCTGGATTTTCCGCCTTTGATGTTGCTGATGGAAGGGCTGGCTCATCTCATAGTTAGAGTGTTTCGTGAAGCAGGGTGCTTTTCACCACCAGTCCAGGCCAACAAGTCCATCATCGCAGGAGCTCGTAGAGGGGTCGATTTTGGAAGATTTTATCTCTACAGTATCCTTGAAGCTGTGTACAACAAATACTCACCGTCGGTCAGCACGTCGTCTTGGGTTGATGATATCACTCAGTATGCGTACGGGTCCGTCAGGTTCCTCTCCCAGGCGCTCACCAAGGCTGGGGTTCTCTTGGGCAGGCTCTGCAACAAGGCGCACTTGAGTATCGCAAGCAAGAGCAAGATCATCGCGGGGGACCCTGGCTTAGCAAAGGACATTGCGCGCAAGTTGGCACAGCACAACATTAAGATCACTGTGGCACAGAAAGCAGTCGATCTAGGCACAGACAGAGGCACGAACATGCGAGCACGACCTAAAGCAGCAGCACGTCGCAAAGCAGCATGGAAGCAAGTAGGCCGAGCTCGGAAGCTTATTGGAGCAGGCAGAACAGGCAGAGCAGCAGCACGGCGCGTGATACATCGAGGATGTTATGCAAAAGTTCAGTATGATGCAGCTGTGTATGGTATGAGCCCTTCTGCAGTGCAGGCTTGGCGCAGAGCTATAGGAGGCACTTTCACTTTGTCGGTCCGTGGCCGGTGCCTCGACACTCTTTTACAGCTGGAGCTTGGAGATCAAGATCCAGCAATCTCGCAGGTATTTAAGATGCTCGACAGCTGGATGGCCATTCTTGCGTCAGGAGCTGAAGCACGAGCTTCTGCAGCACGAGATTGGTCGCAGCACGTGGCTAAGGCTAGAGAGATTCCTAAGCATCGATGGCGCAGAATCACAGGCCCCACCAGAGCTGTAGTAAACACCCTTCTGGACATCAACTGGGACCCCATTGGACCTTGGCATTGGGTTTCTGATCTTGGGAACGTTTATCAGGCTACTCCAGAGGTCCTTGAAGCAGGTCCACTAGA